AGGTAAAAAATTTGTCGATTTGACATGGAATGACCCATATGTATTATAAATACCTTTCTTTCTACTTGCTGAGGTCGACGTCTGATTATAACAGATGTTCCTGGTCTGGCTTTATTCGCAGACGATACGGTTCTCTCATTCAAAGTTGTTTTGCTTCTAATAAATTTCGGTGTTTCTGGTAAATTAATTGTTTGTTGTTCGTTTGGTCGTCTACGCGATGATACCGTTGAATATGCTGCTTGGCTCGTATTATTTATCTCTTTATTTGAACATTTGTTAATTAATTTATTATCTACTTTGTCAGTATTTATAAATTGTTTATTTGTTTTCTGCTTTACTTTATTATTTGATTCTATCGTATTTTTCGCATTCTTCGAGGCTACCGTCGTATCGATATTTTGCATTTGCAATTTATTATTATTATTAACTTGTATTATTTTATTATCGACGTTTACATTTTCTAGAATTATTTTACTTTCATTATTGTCTATGTTCTGTTTCGTGGCTTTGGTATTAATATCATTTGTTTTTAATTCTGTATTTTTTTTATTAGCTGTTAATGTGATCTCCGATTTACTTCGACTGCAAAGTTTACTATTCGTTTCGTTTTCCTTAATCGTTTTATCCATGGATTCCATGTTTTGATAAATACTTGATTTCGTATTCTTATTATTAATACAAGCTTGTTTGTCAATCGATAAATTCGAATCCAATATTTTTAAAGTACTTATATTTTGCAATGAATTTTTACTCTGTTTTCCAACGTTTCTTGTATCTGCCTTAATTTTAGAATCGCATCCATCTTCGCTCGTTGATTTGTTATTATCTATTAAACTATTTCCATTAGCTTTTGCATTTAATGCAGGCTTTACTAGAACTTTGTTAATAGAGCTAGTTTTGGATGCTACAGATCTTTCTTTGTTGGACGATTGATTCGCACCTCTCTCTATCACGTTCTTCCTTTTCTCTTTAATATTTGTCGAATTATTTTTAGATACATTGTTCTTATTATCCTTTATTATTTTATGCAGCGATTCCTCTTTAATATGATTTATTTTATTGTCCGTAACCATGGGTTTGGTCTCCGAAATAACTTGATCAATAGGACTTCTGCAAGTTGATTCCGGTGGGCTTATCCTTTGTAACGGGCTAGTAGATTTTGGAATTATTGTTGAATTCCAGATACGACAAGGTGATGTCTTCCTTACTTCCCATGCTAATGGTGTACGTCTTAATGGTGGTGGTGAATTTTCATATGCCCATTTAACTTTAAACCATTCTATTAAATTATGGAAGTCTTTTGTATAATTTTCCAACACCAAAATAACTTCCTTGCATTCAGAAATATTTTCATCCTCTTCGCATGTTTGATAAATACCATCAACCGCTCTTTGTAAATTTCCAAATAAAAAAGCCCAATAGCGAGCTTGTAATTCTGAAATATAAAAACACGTTAATACTAAGAATAAAATAATTAAAACATTTTACAACGTACCAGACTTTTTGTCTCGACCAGTGGAAGCCGATCTAACTCTGGAGGCTGGTTTCATAGATCTCTTCATAGATCCAGATTGAACCACTCTCGGTACACTAGGTGGTTTCCTTGTTACTTTCTCTGTATTACTTGTGCCAACTGGTACATTAAAAGCAATTAGATTTCTAGCTGCACGACCTTCTTCTTGTATGAGCAACCTGACATCTGCCATTTTTAATCTAATTTATCTACAATTAAATATATAATTAACAAGAATTTTATGACAAATTTTTAATTAAAAATCAAACAAATTAAAATTATATCATTAGATGATTTTTAATCTCAAACGTAAATTAAATAGAATTTATTGAAACATATACCCAACATTTTTGAAGAAAGTGAAAAGTCAAAACATGAGGTTATGTAAATATTATTAGTAACCAATGCAGTATCGTAAAAAACAAATGTAATATTTTAATATCTCAACGAATATATTACTAAATGATAAAAATAACGTTTGTAAATGTCAGAAAAGTTAAAATCACAGAATAAAAAATTCGTCGTTGATCAAAACTTTCCACTTGTCAATGTCCAAACGTATGATGTTTACAAAAGAATACACAGTAACCCACCTGCGTAGTAAACAAAGATGTACTCTTTTTAATGACATTAGGTTTAAAGAACACTTTTACAAGTATTGAATATGAACGTCACTCCAACGATGCTATGCAACATTATTATATATATCACACGTCACATATTCAAACAAACAATCTCCATGATAAACTTCACAACTGTTTTTACTTCTACCATTAACTACGATGCATGTTTCTCGAATAACCTTTGCATTTCGCTTTGTAATTTAGCGCCATCTGTTTCTCGATACGACAACAAAAAACAAAAGAAAAATTCAAAAGAAATAAAAAAGTATACTTAAAAAGTACAAAATTATACATTTCTATATATTTTATTATGTTTAAACATACACGTATCGAATTTCAAATTTATCCTTCTGCAATGTTCCTCAACCTTCGCCAATTGAAATTTTTCCACAAAACAGTTTTATTTTAAATTATGCATAGATTATAATTTGCATGAAATAAAAATGACTTGTTACGCTTTGTAAATCGATCGAATTGAACTTTTCCAATTATCATAATAAAACACTGCGAATATCTAATGCGTTTTTTATAGGAACGTTAATAAACAAATTTGAAAGTATAATTACAAAAGTCATTATACAACGTGTAAAATAATTAACATTTGCGCAATCTCGAAAAGTTTCCTATTCGTCGCAGTAGCGTTGAGATATTTTCTTGAAACGATTAACGCGCCTTCGTGAAAAGAGAGAGAGAAAGAACTGGAGTGGGGGCGAGAGAGAAGGAGATACATATAGAAGCGTAGTACCAAATTGTCGCTGTAGATAGCGCCTAGATAGTGGAGCGCGTCAGTAGCGCCTCTGTCGTTGACGGGAACGTAACACGGAGAGTGCCGTAAAAGATAGTTGTTAATTTGGCTGTCCTGATTAGAACGCAGCGCTTCGTCGAGGATAAGAACGATATATCGCGGGGGGTTGGATATCAAACACGCACGGCTGGTAAAAAGACCGAAGCCGATTTTTCGGTCGGCCGGGAGGGAAGCCGACGTCACGAACGGGTAAAGAAAATATTAAACATCGGAAGGAGAAACGATAAGGGGAGAACTAATAAATATAAAACACAGTTTTAATCTCAATAATACGTACAGAAGAAAGAGATAAAAACCATTTAAATAGAGTTTTCTAGAAGAAAGAAAAGAAGAAAAATAAGAAGAAGAAGAAGAAGAAGAGGAAGAGAAGGTGGAGGAGGTGGAAGAACAGAGACCGGGAGAAGGCGAACGAAACTGCCAGATTTGCAGAGCTGACAAGTATATATATATTTACGGAAAATAAGGATCGTACGTATGACTCGTTACTATCACAGTTCCTTTTTCTCTTTGTAACCCTTTTAACTTGGTCGTCGTCGTCGTTGCCACTGTTGTTGTCGCCGCCGCCGCCGCCGCCGCCGTCATCGTCGTCGCTTAAAACTTTCCGCACGTAGGACGAGTCTCCCGAGAAGGCTCGAGTTCGATGTGTACCCTCTCTTTTTTCTTTTTGTTTATGATAGGGCTTTTTGAAAGTTGGTAGAAGGAAAGATATCGTATATGGAATAAACTAAATATTCCAGGAATATACTTAGCCACGCGTTTATTATTTTTCTTATTATTCGAACGAAAGTTTTTCTTCTATTTTCTTTTTTTTCAAATTATTTCCGAGCGTTGATCCAGAAAAGGTACAGGGTGGTACCGATTTTTTCTTTTTTATTCTCTCTCTCTCTCTCTCTCTCTTTCTTTCTTTCTCTCTCTCTCTCTCTCTCTCTCTCTCTCTCTCTCTCTCTCTCTTTCTCTCTCTCTCTTTATCTCTTTCTCTCTTTCTCTTTCTCTTACTTTTACTGTTCTTTGTCAAATCGCAGACAATCGAATGATACGCGTTTCCCGTGCTAACGTGCATAAGCGTCGTTCAACGTGACAAGCTGTCAATGTGCGGCTTTATTCCTCATCGTTATTTCCAAGAGAGTGACATTTTAACCAAAAGTATATCGATTTACATACGTGTGTAGAAACGCGTGACAATGAATCCCTATAATCATAGCAACTATGTATTTTATTTCTCTCTTTTTTCCTTTTTTATATAATCATCGATCCTCTTTTGTAGTCAAGGTGATTGTTAAATAATCCATTTCTTCTAACTTTTACTACTGACTCTTGCTTTTATTTTTCTTTTTTTTTCTATTTTATATAAATAATTAGAAATACAATAAACGATCTTGCATAAATCAGATTTTTCATTTCCCTTTGTTTCTATATTCTGTGTTCGGCCTCAATAGCCAAGATTTCAAGATTTCATTGCGACTCTAATTTCCTCTATTTTGTAAGAAAGTTTTACTATAGTCGTCTTTTAAAATATATCTTATTTATTTTCTAGTAGAATTTTGTAAAATATGGCTGCACTACCAAGAAGAATTATCAAAGAAACTCAAAGATTAATGCAAGAGCCTGTTCCTGGTATCAGTGCGGTACCAGATGACACAAATGCTAGATATTTTCATGTCATTGTAACGGGACCTGAAGACTCGCCATTTGAAGGTGGTTTATTTAAACTTGAGTTGTTCCTACCAGAAGATTATCCGATGTCAGCGCCTAAAGTGAGATTTATAACCAAAATTTATCATCCAAATATCGATAGGTAACTATATCTATTTATATTCGTATAGAATTGAAAATGTTCGCTTTTAGAAAGTAGTATTTATTAGAAACGTGAAACGTTGTTATACAGATAAAAAGAAATTTTTGAAAAGAAAAAACTATTTTTCTTGGATGCACGATAAGTAATAAATTAATTTACGTTTGACTTTAGATTAGGCAGAATTTGTCTAGACATACTAAAGGATAAGTGGAGCCCTGCTTTACAAATTAGAACGGTTCTTTTATCCATTCAAGCACTTCTGAGTGCGCCAAATCCAGACGATCCTTTGGCTAATGATGTAGCTGAACTTTGGAAAGTAAATGAAGGTGAAGCAATACGTAATGCCAAAGATTGGACCCGGAGATATGCAATGGACAACTGATCTCAGCTTTGTCGAATAATTTGCAACACAAAGCAACGTTACCCCGAATGTCCCAGTTTATTCGTCACCTTACCCGCACTAGCTGCATATTCTGCACCTGTGTCCACGATTTTGCTATAAAACCAATAAAAGTTTTGTAAGAGTAATTAGAATGAAACTGTATTTTCTATATTGCGGGAAATACAAAAACGTCTTATTTAGATTTCTTTTTTAAAATTCATTTAGCAAACTCGTATGATTTTTTCCATTTTTAATTAAAAACAAACCGAAAAGAAAAGAAAAAAGCATATATATATAATTAGAATTTTAATAGCAAACGCTGATTTGTTTTCAATTCAATTTGAACGAGAGACAAGTACGCTACATTATACTAATTTACTAAATGATTACAAGGTGTCTTGTACATGCATAATTAACATGGATTATGGCTGATATTTTTACTATGCTACTAAAAATGTGCTAGAATCAATTAAGTTATAATAATGCAATACATAATTCTTTATCGAATCCATCTTATTCTACTAACTAAATATCACCTGGGATTGTTACGTGGGTATACATATATTTATAAATAATACAAGAAGATATAAATATGATCCTTATTATTGTATTTAAAGACAATGATATTTATTTATCGATTAATCCATAATAGAAGTTTTAAGATAAAAAAACTACAAACTTCAGCAAACAAACAAAAAATTTACCTTTCTAATGTAATTCATTATTGTACGAGTAATTATTTATGACTGCAGATAAAAAAAAAGTGATATAAAAGAATGAATATAATTTACAAAATTATTATATAAAAGACTCAAAATTTGTATCTCTGAAAAAATTAAAAAATACATTTTTTTATTATCCAGGCTAATATCTTTGAATATTAATTCATCGTAAAACAAAAATTATTTTGTAATTTTCCCTTTTGGAATTACACGTTCAAATGTTTTCATTTCCATTAGATATAGACGACTGAAAAATATGAGATAGGTATATATTTATGTCTCGCTAAAAGCTTGCACTACCTCAATAGAAAATTAGGTTCGATGTAAAATTTGATTAGTATCGTGAAAAGAATATAATACTCGCTTATAAAAAAGAAAGGAAGAAGCAAAGATAACAAGATATATATTACAATGCAAATGCGCGTATAAAGGATTCACGCGTAAATAATAATATTTTCGTGAAGATGATTGAATAGAAATTTTTCTGTATGCCGATTTATAGCGTTTGTTCTATTAATGAAATAACATTATTTAAGCTTCCTTAAAATGGCTCTTGGGTTTCTCTGTATTATGTAAATTCAAAAAAACTTCCAAGTGGTTATATATAATTACTATAATTACTAAAATATAATATATATATTTCTTTATTTTCGAGTATCTTTTGCAACAACATTAAAAAATATTTGTCGTTTCATTAATTGAATATATAGATAAAAATTATGATAAGTTACAAAACCCATATCAATTGTGTAATTTCTCCAACACTTCTATGTCAAGAAATATAAAAATTTTATATATAAAAAAACAAAAAAAAAACAACTCTAACAAAAAGGCACGCAACATTTGCATGTATTTGATTTAACAAAGGCTTGTACTGTTACAAATTTGCGTATATACGGAAACTCGAGGATGTAATCGAAATTGGCTTCATTGTCTTTTATTAACGAAGTTAATTTTTTTATTAACACACTGCACGTATGTATGTTTATCATGTTTTTGTCTTGTTTTTTATTTCTTTTTTTTTTCTTCGAACGAAAATAATCAATATTGTCAGTGCATTAGCTTTATTATGTGTTTTTATCGTATAAGCAAATTTATAATAATAATATTAATAATAACAATGGAATAAAATATCACTTAGTATTTTTAAAAATAATGACAAAAACTGGATTAGTAAGGGGGTGTCAAGAAATACTCACGAAGCAATTGTATACTTAAAAAAAACGTATTGCTTTGGAAGCAGTAAATATCTTTATAATATACATATATATATTTTCAATTTAATTATAAAGCAAAAATAAGAAGAAATAAACTAAAATAAAATTGTTTATAATGTGTAGCGTCGCGCGTTTGCGACATAATAATAGTTGATCCTTTTTGACGATGTACACGTAAAATCTATAAATAATTATTCTTTTATCAGAGTTAAGCCATATATAATATTAGTTTTTATTGTGCATTGTCCGGATTGAAAAATTTGTATTAAAAACATATATGCGAATGAGAACTGGTTACGGAAAATGATAGAAAACTAATTAATTAATCCAAATAAATGCAGTCAGTCGGACGAACGTATTAGAAAAAAAATAAAAAACAAAAAAAGAATTGGAATAATTTTAGAAAGGTGCGATGATTTAATAATTCTCGAAACTTTAAGAACAATTTCAGTCTAATAATTTAACGTGTAATATTGTATTAACAAATAATACGATATTTGCAGATAGATAGTTAAATAAATGAAGAACAAAAAAAATGATAAAAGAAATTACCACGAAGCGCTACAAAAAGCGCAAAAAAAAAATAATCTTTCCATGGCATTGTTGAAAAACATTACATGAAAAATAAAGTAAAGAAATTCGCGTTTGTATGCTACGTGGTAGAGAATAAATATATAAGTAAATAGATAAAGAAACGTATAATGGATGCATGTATATATATATAGATGTCTTGTGTGAACATCGTACTATAATAAAATATAGGTTGTTTAAATATACTGTTCTTTTTTTATATATGAGACTGTTTATTTTAAACGTGGTATAGGTTTTACTTAAAAAAAAAATAAATTAAATTAATAATAAAATTAATTATAATTTAATGGAATTTTTTCATTTAAAAAAAATTTGCAATCAATATATTAAATACCACTGAGATTTTGTTGGAAAAATTTTTTCTAATTTGATGATGTAATAAAAATATTTATTTTAAAAATGGCATAAGTCAGTGTACTTAGGAAAAAACCCTTAAAAAAGAGAGTTGTACTATCTAAGAAAAGTTTCTAAGCTTGCCTGCCTATACTTGCCCCATTATAAACAAAATATTAGATAGAACATTTTATAGAAAGATAAGAATACTTGATCAACGTTGAATATTTGCTTATATAAATTTTGTTGAAAGCATTTGAAGTAATTTTGTTTATTAAATTATATATATAGAAAGAGATCAAATTATTTAATTTTTTTTTCAAATTAATAATCTTTTTTTCTTTTCATTAAACAAAAATAATACCTTTTATAAAATATGACTAATTATTATTAGTATGCGTAACACGAGAAATACGTGGGACAAATGAGTTAAAAGGAAGGAAAGAAACGTTACATAGAAATATTGAATTTGAATTTGAATTTGAATGATAAGATTCGAATTTATATGAGGGGAAATTCCCTTTCCCCAATTTAAATTTGTATGCATATGTTGATTTACTAATTTTAAAAAAATGTCATATCTTATAATTATTATAAATTAAAGTTGCCCAATGTATTTCTATAAATATTCCTAATTAGCAACAATTAGATTTTTGCGTCGATAAATAAATAATGAATAATCGTGTTTTGTTTTTTTTTCTCTTTTTTTTTTTCTTACAAGTAAGTGATGTATATTATAAGAGTTGCAACTATTCCGTTGAAACTTGAAATCTTAAGGCATCTCACTGCAGGTCAGTGACACAGAAATATATAGATGCATTTTGAATTTGAATTCAAAATTACATTTTATTATTACCTTAATACGGACTAGTATAGTAATAATATTACCATATACACATTCAATATAGCTCACTTATAATTTTAACTTATTATACACTCGCAAACACACACATTGATAGAAAGAGAGAGAGATTAGTCATGATATTTTGTAGTGTGTCTCTCATGACTAGTGAAGCTACAGCGCAAGCTCTATGAATGTATAAGATATAATTAGTTTTTCTTTTTTTTTTCTTTTCATTTCTCTTACGAACAGTTTTATTTCGAATATTTGTTTTTTCTTGTCATTATTCTTTTTATTATTCGGTAACGATTCTTCCTTCAATTTTGAATCTATTCTTCCTCATTACTGACATTGCACAATCATATCATTGTCATGTTGAAAAATATAAAACAAAATATTCTACAAAAATCTGGAAGTAATCTTTGGCTTACTATGTCATTATACTTATCGCGATAACAGTTAGATGTTTATTTAAACAAAACATATTTAACTTTTCATTCTTTTATAGATTCGGAAAGATTTCATTTACAATTAATTTGGAATATATTATTCGATATTCGCGTGTAGTTGATTTTTTTGTAGATTTATATTCGTAAGAATATATTTATTTACTCTTTTATCGTGACCATAACAAGCCATATTATTGTAAGAACGTAAAATTATTAGAACTATTTAGATTAGAAATATAAAACGAATAATATGTATACACATACATACATACATACATATACATATATATATGTGTAAACAATACCCAGAAATAAGATGTCTATATATATATTATATATACTTTGAACAAATAATCTACATAATACTATATTTTATTCGTAATAGTAGACAAAAGAGATGACCATGCAAGATCAGGTTGACAGTTAAAGTTAGTCGCAGATGTGTTATTTAAAATGTGATTAAACACATTCAGTCAGGGTGGCTTGCAATAATGGCTGAGTATTCATTTTTATATATTTTTTAGCGTAATGACTAGATAAGTTTTTAGCCACCCGATATAATAACATCTTGTTTGATCCCATATATATCATAATATTCGTACCGCTCTGTTGCTCACCAAATATATGGATAAAAATTTCTATGCCAAAATTCATTGCCTTATTTAATGGATACTGACAGTGACATGACTGATCCAGAAATACTGGATATTTCTGCAAAGTATAATACTTTCTGCACGTATTTTATAAATATGATTTATTATTCATAAGGAATGAATGCGTGTAGTTTCTAATGATATAGATTTTTCTTCATGATATGCAATTTATAATACGCTTTCTATATATTTTTTTTTCAATCAATTGAATTATTGTACATAGGTCAAAACATTATTCATAGGTCTATTATATATATGCATGGAGAGAGGAGGTTGTTTTCATTGGAAAATTAATTCAAAGTATAAAGAAAATTGTATCTATGTGATTTTTACATTCTCATTTAAAAAATATTCATACAAATTTGTATCCAATAGTTTTTCCTCGATCCATGTAAATTAAATTAAAGTTACATTTGTTTTTTAACTCATATATTTAAATGACCATTATTTTGTACAATTAATATATGTTTTTTTAGTCAATTATCATTTTTTTCACTATGACTTATGTTGTAACCTATGCATTTACATGTATATTTACGTATGTTTTTCTTTCTTTCTTTCTTTATTTATTCATTTATTTTAGTTGTATATATATTTCGATAAACATTTCTAACATAATCGTTCTCCCCATAACAAAGCTTTAATGCAATTTTAAATCTGACTAAAGCATTTATCTTGGACTCTTCCTTCGACTTTATATATTTCTTTATATATTTTCTTTTTATCTTCTTTCATACAAAGAACTCTTATGTAAGAAATGTTTGGAAATAGTGATTTAACTATTATTTCAATAATTTAATCGATAGCTTTTGCTTCGAAAGAAAATATTGAATATTGTTTATTAATTTATGAAAAATGCCAAAAAAGCGATGAGATGTTAACGTATCGTTTACAAATGTTAAGATTTTTATTTATAGAATTAATAGAAAATGGAATTTTGTATAAATATATTCCAAATCGTATATCGAAATAAGTGATTTGCAGTTCAAATCACATGCATGCAAAAGAATTCAATTTTAAAATGTTAATTACTTAATGTACTTTGGCATTGAAATTTTATCAAATACCAGGAGTTCTAAAATTTGCACCACCGCATATACATCTTCAGTATTCTAAGCAGAATAGTTTAAAGGTGAGAAATTTTCAGCAAAAATAGATACAACTTAGATTATTATAATACACAGTACTTATATAGAAGAGATACCATTTCACTGATGGTATACTTTACTTTATTTAGCTTACATATATATGTGGAATGGATAATTTATCCTATTATTTTTATAGCATAGATTGCATCAGTCTGTATATTTTAGAACAATTTTATAATACACAGTGCTACAGTGACTCAAGTGTAATGGATTATACATTGCATATCAATGCATTTTAAAGTTACACTAAGTGCGCACAACCAGCCACTACAGACTCCAATAAGAATATCTAGAGAAAATGTGTGTTGCCTTTAAGTAAGAACGTGTGATTAAGATTTAAAAGTTTCAGTAAAATAAATTGTATCTCTCATAGTAATATGATCACAAATATGGCAACGCTATAATATTTAGGAATTCTTTTCAATGACAAATTCTTCCCCGTACACTGACTAAAATAAAAGGCTTACACGCAAGCAGCCTTATTGAAATCTGTCAGCTTTAGTATTTTTTTTACATTGTCATAGTATATAAATATTGTACGCAATTAGTTATTTAAAAGTTATGTGTATAATAATAATATTTCTTATTTATGGCCAACCCTCAATTTCTTTTTTACATATTATCTGCAGAAATGAAGGAAAATTATAACTCAGATTATTCTAATAAATATACAATTTGCTAAATACAACTCTTTGTCCATAAAATAATCTCATGAAAATGCAAACGTTATTTATAGAATTATTTAGTATAATCTTTCAATCAAATCATCAGTAGCTATATCCAATATAATAACTTGTGCGACATGCATTTCGCATCTGTTCTATTGGGCCATAATGCAAATATAAGATCTTTAACTTATACTTTTTTGTACATACATTGTTCATATTCATGCTTCATCGTCATTATTATATATATATATTCAATTTGTTACAATAGAATATTACATATAATAGCCCTGTCGATATCTGCATATACATGTACGCATATCCTATACAAATGTTGTTATCTAGTGATATATAGAAAGAGGTAATAAAGTAGAGTGCAGCTTCTTAAAAAAAATAAAAGATTATTGAAAAACAAAAATTAATAAACGAAAAGTATTTCATGCTGCTGGTGGAATCCTTTTCTTTATGTTATGTTTTGCTGACTCTTCTATATAATTACTATGACATATATATGTATATATCACGAGACTTATGCATTGAAAATTTTATAATAGACAATAGTGTTTAGTACAAATTAATAAGACTCGGGCAATGCATCTCAAGCATCGACGAGCTCAAGAATAAAAAAGATTAAATGAACGATGTAAAGTTGAGTCTCCAAAAGATGATAGGAGATACGTTTTTATAAATATTACTACGTCATTAGCTAATATAATATAATATACAGTTTCAGCTCTGCTCTAAATATCAATAAAGAGCTTTGTGCTATTTATAATCATGTGCACTGCATCATCTGCATCGCCTAGCGTCTTTCTTGGCGCAAATAATGTGATCCTCTATGGCAATTGATATTAAAGATTAGTATGTATCATTTTTTTTCCTTTTTTTTTCTTACATAAAATAAAGCATATACATTTATATCAATTACAATGATTTTCTGATTAGCCTAAATGCTTTAGCATTGTCACTATACAGATGCAAATGCACTGTAGACTTTATGTTATTCTTAAAATCGGTTTACGTATGACTAAAGGATGTATCTCTCCTTAGTAATTTCTTTTTTTTTGTCTTCTTTCCTTTTGTACATTATACAAGATTGCTTTTATGTGGAAAGAGAAAAAAATGACGGATATGGAAAGCAAGAGAAGTATATATTATTATTATTATTATTATTATTATTATTATTATTATTATTATTATTATTATTAT